CTCCCTGAAGACAGGGTCTGCACTATATTCCTCCATCTGTCAGACGACCTAGCACAACACCCGGCGCACAGTAGACTCGATAGATACTTCTTGTACAGATGAAGGAAGGACTAAAATCCACATTCCAGTCTTCCTGTTCCAAACTTCAAAGTTAGAAAGCAAACTCTGGTCCGACAGAAATGCTTCTCGACGAATAAGAGACATAGTTTTACAAATTCCCTGGCTTCTGACCTCATTTCAAAGCTTAGGCAAAGGCACTAGGCACATCTGGACAGATCCAAATACTCTTTGAAGCCCGACTTTTTAGTTTCCACAGGGAAAGGTAGTCTGTCATTCTCCTAGGCCAACACATGGTCACCAATGAGCTTAGGGGCACATGTCCCTGCCCACCAAGTCACAGATGCTGTGAGGAGGCCTTACAGGAAGGACACCTGTCACACAAAACACAGATAGCTCCTTTCTAGAAAGGAAAGGGGGTGAGTTGACAATAACTCAGGAATATTAATTTAAAAAAAATTTCAAAAACCATATTCTACATACAGAACCCACTGGAGCTTTCCTATCAGATTATTTACAAAGAAAGAACTCAGCACTATTGGAAATTCTTGATAGAGTGAAGTTTCACCTGGAAAGGCAGCTGCAAAACGCATTACAAAGACCTCCTCACCGGACTTCACGCTCTACGTTAGTCACCCTGTGTACTATTCTCACCTTAACAGCCACCAGAACAACCTTGACTAAACCCACCCTTCTCCCTATTTTATTCAGAGGAAAAGCCACAGACAGACTTTATGTTGGCCCACAAGGCGCTACCTGATGCGTCTGACATGATCTCTCTCCAATCTCATCTCCTAGGACATTTCTGATAATCCTTGAACATGTCAAGAGCAGCTCCAGCTGTACCCTGGGCCAAAAATGTCCTTTCCCAGAGAGCCCCAGGCTCCTCTCTGACCTCCTTCAAGCCTCTGCTTTGATGCCACCCTATTCCTGTGCCCTCCCACACCCAACTTCTTTGAAATTGCAACTCACCTCTCCATCCCTAACCCTGCTCTATGTTTTCCCCTTTATTATTTTCAACTTCTGCCATCCTTATTTAATTTTTTAAATGAATGATTTATCTTCCTCCAACGCATGGACCTCTCTAAGGACCAAGTGTTTTGCTGTTTTATTCACTGATGGCCTCACACAGTGCCTAGACACCCAGTAAATGCCGCTGAATGAACTAATGTATCCTAAGAACATCCTGTTTTTATCTGCATCCTCCCACAATCTCTGCATGCATTTGACATTTATCTTAAAACTGTATCTATATTTGTAATTAATGTAGAGATCTTGTCATTAAAGGCTCTTTGGAAAGTAGAATTGACATTACCCATCCTTCTTTTCATAGTTCAATAGCCAAGCGGGATGGTTAGTGATACAGACCACGAAGAATTGGATATTTCTCTAAATAGTTTGACAGCCCAAAAATCCTACAGTAGGTATAGAATATCCATACTGTGGGGCTGGATTCAAAATTCTCATGGTTCCAAAATAACCAAAATAACATCAGAATAGCAGGTGGCATAGGATTGCACAAATGCCAAGTAATTTATCCTTAACTTTTCTTTTTAAAAGCTGATCAGATTTGCACCTGCTCTAATACCTCCGGTTGAGAGAAACCTCACTTGGAAGCAGAAAACCGCTGTTACTCAAAGCTGAGTCTGGCTGAGAGAGTAGAGTTTACATTCCATTGTCGGCCAGATCCTTACCCCATGGAATGTCTGAGAACAGGATTCAGGCCATGAAGAGGTCGGCAGTGCTTCGACCAAACACAACCTCAGGGAATTAAACCTTATACATCGACTTATACATTGTGTCACTTACACATCGTACCTTAGTTTTCAAAATCCCCTTCCCACTCACAGTGGCCCAGCTCAAGGCACCTGGGTGGATTCTCATTGGCTTACACACTCATTGCCCCCTCTGTGGTGAACAGCGGCCAGGGGAGATGTGTGATCCTGCAGACAACCGGTCTACCTCGATCTCTGTATGCACTTGGGAGAAGGGAAAGCATGGGGCCAAGACTCTGTTGTGCTTTGGGTGAAGGGTCCCACACTCGCAGAACCAGTTGATCACACAGAGGCCCTGCTCCATCTGAATCCTTCCATGCTGGAGGACTGTGGGTAAACAGACCTGCATCATCACAGCATCCACTGCCTTGAGCAGCCGCAGACTACAATAAGGTCAGAATAACCATGTAGAGCCCGCTTACAGGTACACAAGCATCAGCTCCACCCACCCCGGCCATTCGGACTCTGCAGCTCTGGGCCAGGGCTGGGGAATCTGCCCTTCAGGACACCTCGGGAGACGCACATGCAGGCCATGCTTGGAGCAACAATGTCTTGCAACCACCACAGAGTTCCTTCAAAGCCTCTCACTCAGTAAAGATGTGAAAAAAGACAAAACCCAAACCCCAGAACCACCTGAATTTGCCTTCACAACTTTTAATCCATGTACTCACAGAGACTGTCTCAGTTGCTGATCTTCTAGATTCTTAGGTCTCGGTAGGAAAAGCTTCAGGCAGGCTAATGTTATCTTAACCAAGAATGTGGGGGCTAATGAATTGAAAAAAAGAAAAATGATTCAGCAACCACATGGGCTGTGCGGAGCAAGGACCATTTCGTCCTCCAGGGGATTTCAGTGAAATCATGGGTGTCAGAACACAGAGTTATCAACTACACCCAGGTTAGAGAGTGAGAACAGCAAGAGGCGCCACGGGCCCTGGGCTCCCTCCAGCCGCTCCCAACATCTCCTTGGAATGGAGAGGCGGTTCACACAAGGTGACAGGGATGGCCCTCGAGCTGCTTGGCACAGGCCGGCCTCCACTTAACGAGTGCTCAGAATCACACTCAGCATGGAGAAATTCACCCTGACCCTGGACACTTGCCCCCTGGCATCCACTCACTTACATTTTTACTCAATTACTATTTCTAAGAACAGAGACAAAAAAAAAAAAAAAAAAAAATGCAGAGCCCCACTGCTTAGCAGTCTTCCGTGGAAGGTCTGAAAGGGGTCCGCAGAGTCTTCCCATGGGCCTGGAGGCTGGGTGGGTGGAGGAGCCCCGCACTGTCCAGGAATCTCCATGGAGCTTGCACCCTCCCTCCCTTCCACACCCTCAGAGACACTCCTGATTTTCCCAGACTCACTAAAGAGCAGGGTGGGTTTCCAGTGTGTTTTCACCAAAGAAAGAAGGAGGCTTGCAGCAATGAAATGATCGAAAATAACCCCAAGCGAGGAGTGTCTGAGAGGAAAAACCACACAGAGAACCAGGGTAGCCCTCTCAACTTGTTTACTATGGGAAGAAAAGATGAAAAGGAAATTAATCCAAAGTAGTCACTGAGACAATTATAAAAATTAATGGGGCAGGACTGCCAAGGAAAAGCAAAAGGAAGGCCAGAAAATCTGGGGGCTCTGTGGTCTGGTGGAGGGCGTCGAGGCCAGACCTGAATTCAGATTCTGGCTCTGCCCCTGCCTCTCTCCCCCCCGCGAGTGTGCTATGACCAAGGACAAGGTATTTTCCTCTCCAAGCCACAGCTTCCTGACACGTGGGGATGGTCGCCCTGGCCGTCCCCAACCTACCACCATGGGAGGACCAGGACGCTGTGTGTCTACGTGCCTCCTATGCCAGGGCAGAGGAGGGACTCAACAAATGCTTTCCTTCTCTTATTCCCTTCCCTTTTCTTTTCCAAAGAGCTAGTGGGAAAAACATCAGACAATTAAATCCTTGGTTTAGATAGTGAAATAAAATACAAATGTAGAGGTTGAAAACAAAATATATTCTGTCTCACAAAAGGGAAATTGAAAAGCATGGATTAAACCTTTTACTCTTTATTCACATGGCAGCTTCTAGCCACTTTCATACATGAAAATAAATGTATATTCTCAATAGAATCAGTTCTTTTTCGAGGAAACCCAGCTTAAACCACTGTAAATAAACTACTTCAATCCTTCATTCCTTGATTCCTAAGAAGCAAGGTTAGGCATGGTAAATTGCAGAGTAGGCTATACCAGTGAACCAGATTATCTACTAAGGTAATAAAAACATTTCTGTTGTCTGTATCTGGGACCCCTGCCCACACTTATTATCAGTATAATGTAAACCTTCTTGGGGTCTTAAAAATGTGAGTGAACCAATGCCAGAACTGTGAGTCTATTTCATTTCTTCCTGAACATGGATCAGGGACAACTGGGCCCCTGTGTTCTTAAATATCAGGATCACCTAAGTCCTATTCTTTGCTGTGACCTCACTGCTCAGCATACAGTAGGCTCTCAATAAAAGCTGATTGAATTGATTAGTGTTCCAAATCAGAAAGCACTGAGACCTCAGTGCTCCTCAGCCTGACATGCAGGGCTAGCTCCAAGGGGTTTGCACTTGTGCTGAGGGTCAGGGCTCAGTGGCAAGCTCCCAGGGCCAGTCAGCCAAGATTTGACCCATGACAACCCATTCCCATTCTCATGCAACCCAGGAATGACAATAGGAAGGTCACAAATAGTGGCAACTCTCCCACAGGCCTCCCTCCAGAACTTCAAAGGAAAGAAAAGCTCCTTCGTCCCCTTCAGGTCAATACAAGAAACATTAATTGAGCGACTACTGTATGCCAGGCATGAGAACAGAGATATAAAAAAAAAAAGACACCCCAAAAGGACCCCTGATATTCTGGCCATATGGCTCAACCCTCCAGAGGGCATCATCCACGGGGGTTAGCAGATCCGGATTTCAGACCACTGTGTCACCACTAGAGCACAGATCTCATGTACCCACAACCCATTCTTGCACATACGGCCATCAAATCATTTATGGACTAAAAATTGGGCGCACCTTTGTGGCTGTTCAGCTACAAGGCTGCATGCCAGAATTCTCTCTGGCCTCTGACAAGTTCCCCCACAGGAGACAGACACTAAAGATGGACTTGATAACACTATGTCAAATGAGGTATAAAGCAGACAAGTGTACTCACCAAGGTACCCACAGAGCACCTGGGACTGTCTGGAGCACAAGCTGCCCACTGAGCCAGAGGGTGTTGTAACAACTGGGCAGACAGCTAGGAGTTTTAAAAAGCACAGTCATTAGCTATTTTACTGAGGCGATGCCTTGCACAGAGCTATACAAAGATTCAAAGTCGAAGCGGGCTCTCTGAATGTACTTATTCCCCCACACATATAAGGTCACCGCTACTCGGGGACCAAGGCTCTAGAAGGGATTCTGGATTCTATTCCCAGATCTACTGGCATCCCTTAACCACCAGTCAGGCTCCTGAGTTCCGTTTTCCCTTTAACACGCTCTAGCGTCCAAATCACAATGTACAGTTTATACATGGAAATGGTAAAATAAATACCGTGACTCATGTCAAAGATGAACAGGAAAGGCCTTGACCTCCTTTGACAAAAGACAGCCTATGCGTTATGAATAAAAATCAATGTTTCATTTGGTTGGCCTAGACTTCAGGTTCCCTAAATATAAGTGTATCTTGGTTTGGTGCTGCTCCACTGCAGTTTAAAAATCTAGGGCTGCTCGGGATGGATTAAACATTCTCTTCCATGATAGTTATTACATCATGAAATTTTAAACTTTCATTTCTTTAAAGTAACAGCAACGACATCTTGTATACCACCCGCCATATTCTTATAAAAGAAAATATACCAAAAAATACCCTCAATGGAAGAGAAAACACTGCTAAGTGTTCTATCTGGGGTCGAATCAATGACAAATACAGGATTTTTGCGTAAGAAGACGTAGGTTGAAACCCCTGCCCTGTCACTGGTTTCCTGTGAATCTTTGAACAAGTGGCTGGATTCACCCAAGCCTCAGTTTCTATACATGAAGCATACATCATGCTACCCCTGAGGGTTTTAGAAGCTCACGAAGAGATGATATATTTAAGAGACTGGCAAATAAGAAGTGATCAAGGGACGTAATAATATTAGTTATATAACTTATTTGACAGATGAATCCCTGACTGACTTCCAGGCCTGGGGTGAAGATATTTCTTTCCTAGCTCCTCACGTGGATTTAACATCCATGTCCCTGCCATTCGTCTAGGGCATGTCTTCCAGAAGTAGCCTGTCACTCTGCAAACCGGACTTGAAAACTTCTTTTGACAAAAGACAAAAGGCCTTGTGGAGTCCTCTCCCCCCCCCCTTTTTTTTTTTGGTCAGATTTGTGCCTTTTATCTCTCAATTTGAAAATGGACAAGGAAGCCTTTTTCCATCCCCTGTAACTTACCGTCTCCAACATTCAGCCCACTAACAAGCCCCCCGTGACATGCTTTCACGCTTCCGTGGGACACACCTCCCAGTCAGAACTCTGAGTCACTGGGATTATGGGGCACTGGAGGACCCGCAGAGGCATGGACGAGGAAGGTCCCCTCAGAGCTTTCTGCAACATACTGTTTTCATGTTGCCACCATATGCTGTTACCAGTTGCCATCTGCTCACATATGTTCTCACCAAGAAGCAACCATGTTGTTTATTTTTAGAGGCTCTCCACAGCCTTAACCCGGAGCAAATTCCCTCAAAGAACCAGTCAGCAAAGACAAGAAGCTACACTGGGTATAAACTGTTTGTCACAAGATTAGCAAGTCAAACAAAATCTTCTCATTCATATCTGACCTCTAACAAGAGATGCTGAAAGTTATCTTAAATAAAAATCTCCAAGAATGTAACCAGGGAAAGGCAGAATATGCAGAGGAAGTTGCTTGGTTAGCAATACTTTTTCTTCCAACTATGGCCCTGTGCGGGTTCTTGGGGGGATTTCACTCCTTTTCCTGGGAAACAGCACCTTCTTCAGGCCAGTGGATGTTGTGGTGCAGAGGAGGGACAGTTCTAGTAACAGAATCCAGATCCCTGAAATTGCTCCAGGTCACCCAGGTCAAAGGAAGTCTGGATGGGACCAGGGAGAGGTCACTACTGTCATTTGCAACTTCCAGCAAGCAGTCCTCAAGTATGCCCCTTTGGTTTACTTTTACTATGCCATAAAGCTGCAGTATTAAAATCCTTTCTTTCCTTTTTTGTTCTGTTTTGTTTGTTTGTTTTTAAGCAGGGTCAAAAAAGACAGGCACTCTGGTGCTGACCCAGGGCCCCAGAAGTAGAGACCATGAATTGGGTGGAGATATAAGTGATGCTTCCAGTGATCATTTAGGTCAAAGAAAGCAATGCTTAGTTTTTTCAAAAATCAATTTCAACAGTCTGTAGGAGTCAAGTGGCATAGGGGTAGGAATACACTTTTGTAGAGCAGTGAGGCTTTGGCAGATGTGAAATGCTTGATAAAATGTGAAAACCTATAAAAATCCAAGACAATTAGTTTTAGAGAAATAATCCTTTTTAGAAGTACCTGGGCATTCACTAACCGATCGTGGAGGACGACCACTCACATAAGTTGTAAGATAGAAATGGTCCTGGAATTAAAATTTTGCCTGGGTAACTTACAAAATTTCTAAAAGACTACAATATTAACCATAAAACTTCATTTTGCCTGGGATGACCCAGCTAAGAAATAAAGCAACAAAACAAAACAAAAATGCACAGTGTTTCCAGAGCGTCTTTCTGAACTCCTGCCTAAGAATCACCTGGCCTCCTCATCAAGGTGCAGGTTTCTGGGGCCCACCTGAAAACTACTGAATCATAATCTGGATGGAGGCTACAAGATGAAGATTTGGGAATCTGCATTTATAATAAGCACTACTGGTGATATAGGGAATTCTTTTGCATGGTAAAATTTGAGAAACTTTGGTATAGGCTTTTGTTTGGTATAGGCTACAGTTTCAAGAAGGCCTTTTATTAAGACAAAATCAGAGAGGGAGACAAACCATAAGAGACTCAGCTATAGGAAACAAACAGAGGGTAGCTGGAGGGGAGGTGGTGGGGGGATGGGGTAACAGGGTGATGGGCATGAAGGAGAGCACTTGATGGAATGAGCACTGGGTGTTATACGCTCCTGATGAATCACTGAACTCTACCCCAGAAACTAATAAGACACTATATGCTAATTAATCTAATTTAAGTAAAATGAAATAAAATTTTTTTTAAAAAGGCCTTTTACAAAATCTCACTTGGCCTCGAGACTATCCAACCAGGTGGATCGTTCTGAGTAAGTAGGGGTTTTGTGTAGTGTGAAAGTGTCTATATGATAAAGACTTTCTCCCTGCAGTGATATCATAAACATAATTAAATGCCATTACAAATGCTCCAGTAAACTCTGATTAGTCTCCTCCTCCATCCCTCCAAACCTTCCCTACAAACATTCCTCTCAGGATTGTAGCAGGTCCATCAGTGGGTACTATCATTTCCTCCTAACACAAACTCCAGGGAGTTTCTACTTTACTTAGAGAATTCCCAACAAATGTTACTGAGAAAGGGCAAGCTGCTGATCCCAAATATATAATGACTCGGGGTCAGTTTGGCTCAGGACCCTCTTTCTAGAATCTGGACACTAGTGCCAAAGAATTAATGAAATTAGACATGACTCTCTACACATAGTTTCATTGTTGATGGTGATATTTTGTGACCGTGGGCTTCCTCTGAAACACAGCTCTCTCCAAGACAAACTAGCACCAGTCACCTCATTGTATGGGGGAGAAAAAGCACAAGTTTAGTGGGTGAAACAGCATCAGTTCAGGATTTAGTTCATAGGTCTGACCAGTAACTTCCATTAACACACTTACCAAGCTAAGGCTTTCTACTATGAAGAGGTACAAATGAATGACTAAATTATTATTCAAATCAACATGATTTTTTAGCAGACATCTCTAAAGGTGAGGACAGGTGCTTCAGAACCCAAGGAGCTGGCCAAAATTCAGCTTTGGTTCTACTCAGCTACTTCTGGTTAAAGCCAGGAACTCTAGCCCGCTCCCACCTCTGTTCCTTTCTCATTAACATCCAGAGCCCCAAATGCCCAGGTATGAGCTGGATGTGGAAACATTTCCCCGCAGAAAGCCCAAACAGACCTCAGTTCCCTTACCAAATCACCTATCTTCTGGGGGGAAAAAAAAAAAAAAGTCCTCCATCTGTGATTTTTTTATTTCTCCTTCTAAAGTGGTATCTGAATAAGTCATCCATTCTTTTGGCTGCTTGGTCAGCCAGCAACTTACTTATAAGGGTTTATTATAAAGCAAGTAGCAACAACTTCAATGGTATTGTCATTAAGATATCAAAGCAGAAGTGAAAATGAGATTAAGCCAATGGATAGGAAAATAAATGACCAAAGAAGAACCAAACCCCCAAATGGAAGGAATGACAAAGTCCCTGCTGCCTCTGGTACAGAGAGAATAATCACTGATAAATTTGGTCTAAAAAAGCATTGAATTGCCAATGCTGAGATGAATCCAAAACTTAAAAATTAAATATTTTCCCGGAAATTCCCATTTGTGTTTGGACAACCATCAATATTTTCGTGCTCTCAAAAGACACACACACAAAATGTGCAGTGTTCTCTTCTAGATGGTGATTCCGTATAGATTTGCAAAGGTCACCGGACCTGCAGTCATTTCAGGGTCTTTCTCAAAACCAAACTTTGCATTCCTGTTCACAAGATCAAGTAACAAGTAAGGACTCTTACAACAGCTTCAAGTTATGAATGAGCAGTTATTTGTGAACTAGCTTTGTCAAGACAGATGTGGTATTTGTCAGTGTGGTGTGGGTTAGATAGGGAAAGCCAAATGAACAGAGCCAAGGTCTAAGTCACATTTTTCTTTTTCTTTCAGGAGACTGGAAAGATGCTACAGGATTTCCTGAAACAAACAACATTTCCAAAAAAAGCAGTCGGAGTCTCAAATGGCGAGAACCCAGTGTGTCCGCTTCAGGAATAGCCTGCTTCCCGATCACCAACACGTAGGCAGCCAGGAGGGCCTGAAGGTAGAGTGGCACCCTCCCCGTGAAACGCGGGGAACGTGCCAGCAGATGGGCAAACAGCTGCCTGAGGAGCTCAGAAACACATTCGGGCTATTTTCAGAAGGTTCGAGCTTCACAACCTGCAGAAAGCATTTTCCATTTGCCTTGAGTTCCTCAAATCCTTGTGGTTAAAGGACTATCTAAGCCCCACATTTCC